TCCCTACGAATGCTGTCAAGGATGCCTGTCGCATGCCAGGCTACTGCTTCCAGGCCTCAGTTTCCCGCTGGAGTGGGAAGAGACTCATAACCTCTTAGCAGAGGAAGCACACCAACGCCTGCTGCTGCGCTGGTGCGGTGAGGCTCTGCCACCACAGGACACCGCGACTTCACACCAAAGAAAAGCCCCCACGCCAAGGCAGTGCTGGTACACGGGTCTTTCCTGCCTTTCTCCGCTGCTCCTGTCCTTTGGCATTATTAGGGGTATGTTCAAAGCGGGGAGGGGGGGGAAAGGAAACAGTTAGGGGTCGCAGTGCCAGCCTAGCGTGCCGCAATATCCATTAACCAGGAGGCTGCTACGCTGCAATTAGTTTTAAGGGGTCCTTAGCGTTTTCATCAGCTCTCAGGTGCTTCTGACGCAGGTAACTTACACCACGGAAAAGTGTAGAAGATGGCAGCCGATGATCAAGACATGCTTTTACTCTTCTAGAGCGCACCGGGTACCTTGCAGCTACAGACCGTGCATACTGCTTATTATTCAGAGCTGTTAGTTGCATCAATCATGTGCCTGCTTTGCACGGGGATTAGAACACAGCGATGTTCTGGCTGCTGTTTTTAAAATACGGGTGTGGGTGGAACTACTGCTCACATTTTTCTCCCACAAGTCGCAGAAGAGCTGGTCGTGATTCCCCTCCCCGGTACCTTCTCTTGACGCTGGTTTTGTTGGCCAGACTCAGGAAGGAAGCTGCCTCCAGCCAGCCAACAAGCGCTGCACGGAAATAATAAGTATTACTAATTGAGAAACGTTCAGATTTCTGGATTGCAGAGTTGAAACCCTGGAACAGCTTTTAAATGAAAGGTGCTATAACACTCTTCCACCAGCAAAGAAACAGGCAGCCTGCAGGGCTGTTATCTCTGTCCATTAAAACCCTTGTGATTTGACACCTTCTAGCCTGAATATTGCCTAACAAGCTCTCGGAAATGCACTGCAACGCTGTGTCTGAAAATGATTTAAGAGCTCTACAGTAGCAGAAAGCAAGGAACTGATTTTTAAGAGCAAAATTTGAGCGGAGCTTTATAGCAAGAGTGAGATCCTGAAAGGCAGATCTAAGGAAAACCTGTGTTAATGCTTCGCTCAGTTCACGTTGCTTCCAACTTAAAGCAGGTGCTTGGTGGAGAAACTGAAAGACAGGGTTAAATTACTGCTGGAAATACATACCAAGCTGGTCAAAGCTAGGACTTGCCAGTCCTTGTTAAGCCCTGAGAGAGAGGGTAGCAAGTAAGCGCAATAAGTGACTTTGCCCAAAAGGTCTCAGCCTTTGTCCAGCCACCAACAGGTCTTGTGATACCTTCAGGACCTTGCAGAGAGAATTTTAGTCACCTTCATCACCTCACGATCCTGGAAAGGCATTATGGAGGCACTAACAGCAAGTCGTATTGGCGTCTTCCACGGCCTTGTCTCACCACATCTGAACTCGTGAGGAACATTTCAGAAAAGCAGCCAGTTCTGAGATTGAATGAAGCTGGATTGAATGAGAAAAATTTTAAAAAAGAGAGAGAGACAACAATCAACATGGGAAATAGCGAGTTGCCATCCTGCTCGCCAGAGAGGAGCAGTGTGTCAAGGCACGTCTCCAAGCTGAAGGGTTTACAGGATGTATAAACAGCTCCATAAAAACCCACGCTGTCACTGCCTCATGGAAATGCGTTCTGTGGGCCAACAGCAGCTAAGGACAAAACCCGTAACACAACACAGGACCTGATCAGACATCAGAACTGCTGGCTGACTCCAGACAGGTGATTTTTCCTGAGTATCCTCCATCAGAACCCTTTTTTTTTTAAAAAAAAAAAAAAAAAACAAACCACAAACCAGATCTGTTCATTATTTTAAACTGCACTTGCTCAAAAAAGGCTAAAGCATTTACTTCCAACATGTACTGCTTACGCTACAAACTCCTTACGCTACAAACACTTTAATCCTTAAAGAAAATCCTTAAAGAAAAATCATTATTCCTTTAATTCAGCAAAATTCAGCTCTTACATGAGAAATAAATATTAAGCACGCGTGCAATCAACTTCTCAGGCATTATCCGCAAGTATGGTTTTAGCAAAAACTTACCCATCCTTCCCAAAAAACTTGAGCTATTCTCCCCTTATTCTGAGGGCCATAACCTCACAGCCACGCCATCACCCCAGCATAACCGTGTTAGCCTGAGACTGCTGGTTCTAAGAGCACACGAGGATCGAAGCGGCCGTCACAGACTCACCAGATCGGGGTATGAGGAAGCGGGGCCAAATACAAGTTTTATGAAGCAAAATTAATTTACAAGTGGAATGTGGCCGCTGTTTTGTAACAATTAACGGGTGTCCCCAGGCAATATAGTATTTTTCACTCTGTTACTAACTATAGTCATTCTCTACATAGCTCACTCGAAGGCCATGAGGGTATTACCCTTTAATTTAGATTTGTGGGGAACATATAATAGCCAACACCTTGATAGGCATCGGTTCAAATAAAATAAATTTCCCTTCTTGTAAGAATGCTGGATTACACACCCAAAAATCAGACTTGTTCGGTTCATATGGGAATAAAGACCATTTCTTTATTAACAGAGTTTTAACCTACAGTGGATCTAGCACACCCAAAACACAGAGGATTTACACAGCACAAAGGCAGCCGCACCAGGTCTCACTCGTTCCCAATCTGCTCTGGGCTGGGGCTCAGGGTGCTGATGCTCCCACACCACCCTCCTACATCATCAGGTGCACCTCCACACCCTGGGACCTCCTCTCTCAGCCACCAAAGGTAGCCTGGGCCATCTGCCAGCCATCCTGCCAGGCACAGGAGGGACTGAGCCAGTTTTGTTCCCATCAGTTGATCCTTGTGCTCTGCCCGAGCCCAGTCCTCAGTGATCTCCGTACACCCACATGGAAAGCACACGTGGCAGAACATCTTGGCTGCGTGAAGCATTGCAGATACGCGCTGCCCTGCCTTTGCACTGGCATCTCCCTCAAGGCAGTGGGAGTTGCAGAGACATTATTAGGTCTCATGGCATTTTAGAAAAGCTTAAATAGAAAATGTCTTATAGGGGTTTCAAAGGCTGGAATAGAACTGAAATAGTGTTTCGATATTAACTGCCAGATGCTAAAAGTGACCCACAGAGCAGCATTGCATAACTGCTTGGAAATGAAAGAACAGAGGGATCAAAATCCACGCACAAAGTTAGAGAGGAAAAAGCAAGAGTTCTTTCCAGACAAATCACTTAACAGCCGCTTCTGCAGCCGCCAGCAGCCTGACTCAGCCCTGGCTGCCACAGAAGGGAAGGTGACACACAGCAGTGGCACACAGGATTACACGGGCCAGCACCACCACACCAGCACAGGACACCCGCAGGACACCATCGTCCGTGAGAAAAATCAGGTGCAGAGCCTTTGTATCTGCTTGGCAAATCCATGCTTTATTTCAGCAAGTCAGGGTAACACGTCAGTCAGCACCAAACACTCATGCAGAAATCAATGGGCTTTCCAAAACCATCAGGAGTAAGATTTTCTGACACGAGAGCTCCAGCTGTAACCGGGGCAAACTCCCCCCGCACACACGGAGCTAACTGATCCCTTATGTTCACGTAGGAACAGCCGGAGGAGACAGGAAAGCAGCTCACGGGCAGACAGGAGACAGCAGAGCATCAGGATTGATTGCAAGAGCCGTTCAAATATGTGAGATACTAACATGGATACGAGCCTCCCGGCTCTGTGTCTTCGTCTGCAACACATGAAGAAATGATGGCTGAGAGAACAAGGCTCTTCGCTGGCATCTTACACAGAAAACCAGGGGTTATTAATAGACACTAATGCTTTCCAGCTAAGAAAGGTATGTACTTCCCAGCGTCTCCTGTTCCGTATCTTGTTCATCAACAACAAAATCATTTCACTAGAAAAGTGCTATAAAAAGAAGCAATTGCTCTCTCCCGTCTCCGGCATCAAGACTGTGTGGCTGTGTAAAAATCAAGCCTACAGCACAATACTGAGGCTGTCGCTGCCTGGCCCAGCACACACACAAAGTAGGAGACCTCCAGCACAGGCCGACAGCAAACACTTGCACTGATTTTCTTGAACTCTTTCAACCATGCACTGCTGAGGAGACCTACCATGTTAACAGCCGGAAAAATAAAGGGGATGTGTGTGTGAAGACAAGAGACAGATGAAGCCCAAGGCTCCAGCCCTTTGATTTGTGGGAAGTGTCTGCTGAAAGTTTCCGTCAGAGAGCAGTTTGCTTTAAACATGCAGCTTCCAGGTTGAGATGCTTCTTCCTGAAGCAGTGTTACCTGAACACTCATACTAAAACTGGGTAACCTGGATGAAATAACAGAGGGAAGAATATGCAGGAGAACTCCAGGAAGACTGCAAATGCTGCTTCAGCCACGTGCAAAAACAGACTGACAGCTAGGAAAGGGAAAGTGAACAGCCAAGATAACCAGTTACTAATCAACAGCCTGGTTACCTTCATGAAGGAGGCAGCTCTTGCTTAAGGGTGCCAGGAATCGCCCCTGGATTTGGGACCAGAGGATGTGGAACCTGCTACCGCAGCAAGCAGGAGAAGTCAGAGTAAAGGGGGGAGGAGGAAGCAAACAGCCTGCTTACACGTGGGTACAGCTGTAATCACTCACAGCACAGCACACAGGGAAAATTAACTTCTGCCCTGGAAAAACTGCATCTTTGGTAGGCAAGCCAGTCTGTCTGCTAAAAATGCAAGGATCCGGAGCCACACGCGTGTTCATTTGCAGTGCAAATGCCTGGCTTTGTTAAAGACTTGCTCTGGTCAGCAGCTCCCCGACAGCAATTTTTGAAGTATATGCATTATGGGCACTACCATTTCTTTGGAGCTACTAGGCTGAAACACTTGGAAACTGGCACGTACTCACAGCAAGAGAGATGCTTGTTTCTGACTGGCATTATTCTCTTCCGTAAGCTTCTTGCATTAAAAACTTCAAGTCACATGTCATTGCTAACACTGAACGTTTATTATCGTTAAAAAAATAAACATGCAGAAAGCCATCCCCTTTAAAACCAAACACATAAAATAATCCAGCAGAGATTTGAGAGAGAAGCGATAGCCCTATAAGGCAGGAATTCATCTGAAACCTCCAGCAGAAATGTTTTTTCTGTGGGAGTCCACGCTCCGATTACACCGCGCAGCGGTGCGAGTCCAGCCAAAGTCCATCACATAACAGAGCACTTGCCTTGCAGTTTGTCTTTCTTCTTCTGCTGCTTGGATTTCTTCCCATCCACCTGGAGACTGACAGTTCTCCTCTTCTCCAGGTTCAAGAGCTCCTGGAAGAGCTCCTGCACATTGTAGTTCATTTTGGCTGATGTCTCCATAAAGGAGCACTTCCACTTGCTGGCTAACGCTTGCCCCTCGCTGGCATCCAGCTCCCTTTGGGTCTCATCACTTTTGTTACCCACCAACATTATGGGGATTTTTTGGATGTCCCCTTTAATCTGACAAATCTGCTCAAAGATGGGCTGAAGATCTTCCATGGACTGCCGGCTGGTGACAGAGTACACCAAGATGAAAGCATGCCCTTTGGATATAGAGAGCCTCTGCATAGCAGGGAACTGATGGCTTCCCGTGGTGTCTGTGATCTGGAGGGTGCAGATGCTCTTATCACAGCTGATGACCTGCCGGTACGTGTCTTCGACGGTGGGGATGTAGGTTTCCCTGAACGTCCCCCTTACAAAACGAAGGACCAAGGAGCTTTTGCCAACCCCTGCTGCTCCGAACACAACCACCCTGTAATCATTGCTTTGTTCAGGCATGTTTGCTGTGCTGCGACGCAAGTGAAGATTTTAACGGGAAAAGCCCCAGTTCCAGTTCACGCACCCCTATGCAGCGGTGGCCTGCGGGGAAAGGAGAGGGCAGAAGGAAAGACAGGAGCAGGGGGAGAAAAGAAAGAAACCGTTCACACCATCTCGGTAATTTCACGGTACGCTATTATAAGCAATTAAATAAGTCACTCCCATCCTTTTTGTCTTGCGTTAAAAAGAAATAAACTCCAACCCCCGCTCCCCGGGATACAGCCCAACATCCCCCCGGCATCCATCCCAAGCACACTTAACGTCAGGAGAAGTGAAAAAGATTCACCTGTAGCCATCGGCTCCACCGTCCAGCGACACGGGACTCAGATGCCGACCAGCAGCGGGGAAGCTGAGCCACCTCCGTCCCGAGCCCCGGCGCTGCGGGGCGGCTCGGCGCCTCCCTCCGCCCCCT